AAGCTGCGGAGGATGGGCTTCGGCTCCTTCTTGCCGAAACTGAAGTGCTCTCCCAGCTTGAGGGGGGCTTGGAGCACAGAGGCGACCGTTTGCTGAAGCTGCAAGGCGTCTCCAGTACCCGAGACACTCAGGTCCTTGAACGCGACGCCGGCCGACTTCAAGCTGATACCTTCTTGTCGCAAAGCTTCAATGGTGTTCTGTAGCCACTTCTTCAGGTCAAAAGACTTGCTGGTAGGGTCCATGGCAGGGTCGCTGTCACTGTCAAAGGAGTCAGGGACCTGTCCCTCTGGCAAGGACGCCAAGGATTGCCGGCGACGTTGCGACATGGCCGTGGCGATCCTGCGCAGTTCCCTCCGGTCACCCTCCTCCATGATGAGGGTAGAATCCCGGCGTTGGAGTCCATTGTCTTCTCCATATGTGGCGTCACTCTCGGAGTGTTTGTGGTGATGCCGGCTAGAGGAAGTGATGGGCGCAAAGGCAGTCTCGGTGGGCGAGTACTGGTCCGTGTCGCGGATGGGCGACTCCTCGCGAGACGGATCAGCAGCTGGCGAGTGCCCGTTCATCGTGAAGACGACGGTGCGCTAACTAATAGATGTGTTGATGGTTGTCTCGGCGACTTTGATGTGAGTGTTGTGAGTGTCAACGGAAGCCTTCCTCGGCAGACAGACAAAGTGAAGAGCAAAATGTAATTGGCAATAATGAAGGGACAGTTGATCCAGATTGGGGACGAGCTGCATAGATAAAGTACGGCACCAAGAGGCTCGGGAGCTCCCTGGAAGCCGATTGGAATGAGCCCATCATTCTGTTGTTTGCGGACTCTAGAGTACGCCGTGTATTGACCAACACAACATGCCGACAGAACACCCCGGGCCTCCGTTCTGCTCAGTGCTAGGATGGCCGCCGTAGACCACAACGCGCGCTAGGACATTGCGGAGAGCAGGCGAGCGCCGAACATGTCGTCACCCTGCATCCAGCTCAGTAGCTAAGGCAGCTCAGAGTGCAATTTTTTGAGCGGCGGCCCATAGCCGGCGCGTACCTGGCAGTATTGAGTTCAGGCTCGGGGTGCTGGTGCATACCGAAAGCGTCGAGTAAGTGCGTTGTGGTTGTGTCTTAGAAACTTGGCTAGGTCTCGAACAGTTTAGCAGGGTTCCCGGACACACCCCAGCGCAGCTCCAGCAAGGCTCAGTTGCGGTGGGTTTGGTGGGTTTTGGTGGGTCGGAGCATTCGGCCAGCAAAAGTCGGGCAATAACCCACCGCCCAATGTTGACGTATTACGCTGCTGAGACAGCACCTGTCGATGTCTGTACCAGGTGAAATGCTTCCAGCTTGCAGAATGGACGGGCGCCTCTCGAAGTATCACAGGGGAGGCCATCAGTAAGCTCGGATCAGGATTGGCGGATGGCGTCCAGCCAACAACGTCGTTGCTGACATTCGAACTAAGAATGCACCAACCGGCTGGGCACGTATTTTCTCGTCGTACTCATTTGTTCGTCGATGCTTAGGGTATTGTTGATGTGCGATGTGGCTTATTAGCCCCCTTCTTCCAGGCTGACAATCCATGACAGGGCCAGGTAAGGCCAGAAAAGGGCTGAGGTGTTGCGTGGACCAGGTGATATCATGGCCCTACCTGACGTCGAGTCAGTGGTGTCGGAGTCGGAGCGCCGGAAGCAACCGAGGCCCGCGTAGATCGCCCCTCTTCACAGACGATGCGCAACTGCCAGACCCTCCTCTAGGAACACTTCATGTCAGCTTCTGACGGGGTTTCCGATTGCAAGGGAACGGCCAGTGAAGGGCTCCGACCGCCCGGTCCCTTCTCCAAGCAGGTGCAATGTTAAGCCGACTCTTCACGTCACCGATTGGCGTGGTCCATCATGGGCACCGAGGCATTGTCTACCCGTAGCAACAGCGATATTTGTCTGTTGCAAGGCCGACACGGCCGACGAGCGGCCCGGTGCCAAGTCCCTGGTCCGTGGATGTCGAATCAGGTGCGTTTCGGGGACATACGCGGTCGAAAGACCCGATCTTCTAGTCGCGGTCGTGGCAGTGGGTGATCGACGATAAAGTCGGTGACTTTTTTTCTCTTCCCCGTGGATGTTGTTCAAAGCGAGCCACGTGGAGGTGGTTTGATTGTGCGCGGATTCGCTTTCGTACCTTCGAAATCGAAATTGGGCATTCCAGACATGATGCCATTGTCGCCAGGCAGCTCGCTGCTGCCACAACAGGGGGGCTGTGAACGACTTTCATCATTCTGATAAAACATCGTCCTGATGAAGAATTGATCGCCTTCTTGAGAACCCTGTGGTTTGATGGGGAAATTGGGCAAATCGTTGTGCTGATGATATGGCAGTGATGTGATCATCATGTCGAAGTGTGTAGGAGGTGTACGCAAGTGCACTCGAAGCGACCCTGGCTGCTTCTTTCATGTGGAGGCCGCTTACTTCATCGGACATCCATGTATCGGACCAGGACAGAACCCGATGGTCTTGAGATCTTTCGAGACCAGGACCTCTGCTCGTGTTCAGGCCACTTCAGAAAGTTAAGGCCTTCCAAACAGTCGAGCACTTCTCTGTTGATATGTTCAATTACGCTCTGGAATGTTGTCACACAGGCTGGAAGGGTACACACTATGTTGGCCCCATCAGAAATGGACGGTGGGGCACCTTCCCGCTCCTCTCCCCCCCGCATCACCAAACAGGCGAGTACCTTAGATGGATGACACCTGTTGACAAGACGTAAAGTCGAACTACAGGCATCTGCAAGTGCTTCAAGATCCTTCGGGTAGCTATCGCGGATGCACATCTCACACTGCATTATTGTGCTCGACGAGAACATCACGCAATGCCCCTCACATGGGAATGTAGTCCGAGACCCCATCAGCCATGGTCATGTCAGAATCGATCATGCACCTATTCGCTGGCACCTGCTCCTTGCCCCTGATGTGGCCTTCGTCCATCACCGACAACCTATCCACAGATCTCACACACCAATCTCATGTGCAGCTCACCTGCACGTAGCCGACGAGGCAGCTGCAAGCCTCTTTCCTCCTACCGTCTTCCCACTCCCGCCAAGAGACAAGGACGCGGGGGTGAGGCCTCTTTCACCCCGCCCACGATGATCTTTTTGCGCGACACGATTTCCCAAACACCACGTTAATCTCCTCAAGATCTCAACTCGGGCGTTCCTGACCGCTCACTATCCTTCGAGATGTCTCTCTTCGACCTGGCCGCCAAGTTTGGCGGTCTCAGCACCCAAGAGTCGGATGATCACGAAGGCTACACAGGTAGGTTCCCAGGCTGGACCCCTGATGTCTCATGACAATTCCAGTCGCCGCATGCAGCCCAGCACTCTCGCCCGTCTTCCCCAGGCTGATTTGCGTGACTCCAGGGCCCAAAGACTACGGCTACACCCAGACCGCCGCTTACGAGAGCGGCTACGATGGCGCCCCACCGACAGGCTACCCCAGCGGCCCCCAGCGAGGTCAGGCCGAATACAAACGGTCCCACGAGGGCTACAGCACGAGTGACCCGTCAAGGGCCTATGTTCAAGAGAGCGCATACGCCGCCCCGCCGCCGGCAGATGAATATCACCCCCAGCAGTCTGACTTTGGTGGCCGCGGCGATCGTCCCCGCTCGTCGGCGCTGCCTGACGGCTGGATCAAGCGCTTTGACGAGCGGCATGGGAGATGGTACTACGTGGACAAGACAACAGGCACATCCCAATGGGAGCCTCCCAAGAAGTCTGATGATGATGGAGGAGGGTACGGCGGTTCGCAGCATGCTTCGAAGGACCAGGTCCACGACGCTCATTCGGGCGCTGGCGAAGCAGCTGGCTACTATGCTGGACACCACTATGGGCAGAATGCCTCCCTGTATGGACAGGCCCCTGTCCAAGACTACCGATCCGGCCAACATGGTGGCGCGTCCTATGCCGAAGGGTATCACGGCCTAGAACAGCATAGGCCTGACCTGGCAGAAAAGCGCCAAGGCAGTGGATACGGCGGTGCTCTCCTGGGTGTCGCCGGCGGCTTGGCTGTTGGAGGAGTGGGCGGAGCTCTCCTTGCCAACGCTTTGGGTAAGCTGTTTGCCATGATTCGTCCCACATGAAATGGTCGGGACATAATCTGACATGTCCAAGAAGGTTCTGATTCCGAACCCGAAGCTGCAGAGGCCCCTATCGAATATGCTCACAGGCCATATGACGAGACAAGATACGACAGTCGTGAACATGGGGCGCCTATTGCATATGAAGAGGATCGAGATTTCGTTCCATATGAAGAGCAGAAGCCTTCACCTGGCTCTGACAGCGAAGGGTCTCATGAAGATACTGGGTCGTCTGAATCTGAGTCTGGAGACGATGAAATAGAAGCAGAGGAAGAATTTGAGAAGCAAAGTTCTCATGAGTCTTCTGGGTCCGAGTCAGGCGACGACGACGGTTCTGAACATGAAGATGAGGGCCAAGAATACCCAAGTGGTGATGACGATGAATGGTCGGGAGAGGAATAATTATGGCTGTTAAGCCAGGCATTGTCATGCCACAAGAACGAGGTTCGGCGCCGAACCCAACCGGCTTGGGCATCCCTACTACTTCTTGCTTTTACCTTCGTACATGTAAACGAAAAATACCCGCACTTGAGGTGTGGTATTCAGTTGTAGTAAGGCGTTGATGTGGATGGGTTAGCATGCGGAGGGCTTTCAAATACGGCATCCCAAGGGAGCCATAGGACAGCCTCAAGATCTTCGATTAGACTTTAGTCTAAGAAGCAATCTGGATTGAGAGGGAAGACTTCGAGGACAGGGCGACGGATATCAATTCCAAACGATGACTCCAGAACCTCCTGTGCCATGTAGTGCTCTATGTCTAGTATTGTACGTCAGAAAACGGCACTTACAATCTCTGGCAAGTGCTTGTCTAGTGGAAACACGCCCGGGGCTCATAATCTGCTGCGATGAATTTCAACAACACGCACAAGATTCGTCGTAAGCAATTGTCGTGGGTTCTCCTCAGAAAGTGTGAATCTGATCCTTTCGATATCCCAACTGTTCCAAAACACCTGGTGAACCCCTCGAGCCAACCAACGTCGCCTCCATCGCCGGTGGCCCGCAAACAAAGACCTTGGTGTCTTGCTTGGTGGGATTAGGTGCAACCTTTTCAAGAAGCGCCTTCGTGACATGACCCTGTTGGAGTAGAGAGCCCGCCTCTGGCCGGCTCACGGTGTAGATGGCTTCGAACCGACCGGGAAACTCCTTCTCGAAGGCGTCAAATTCGGGTTTCAACAGGGCATCCGCATCCGTGTTGATGCCGAACACGAGGGTGATTCTTGTCTTGTCTTCAGGATTCCGCAGAATCCCTTGGGCTAGCTGATAGATCGGGGTAATGCCAGCCCCGCCAGCAATCAGCGTGACGTGGGGAACGGCATTTGGCTTCCATGCGGGGCCTTTGAGCGCAGCAGCGAAGAGGAGTGTTTCGCCGGGCGATAATGAGTGCAGGTGTGTGCTCTGCTTTCCGTCTGGATACAGCTTTACAAGCAAGTCCAAAGACCCAGGTTGATCTGCACCATTGTGAGTATAAGCCTTGCTTGGACGGCGCTGTAACGGGCCATACCTGATGGACTGATTGGTGTATATGGTCTTGCTACTGGGAGCCATCGACCTTTTGGCCATGACATGGTCAAAACGGCAGCTGAGGAACTGTTAGAGTTCGTTTACTCATGACGATTCTGATTCTTGCTTACAGGTGAGAGCTAACCCGCTGACCGCATTTTCGTCCGGTAGCCTGAAACGGAGACGCCTGGTGTTGTGATTGACAACTTCGCTACTCTCTAAAGGCAATGAAACGAAAGCAGGACCACTGCCGAATACCTTTGGTGGGCTTCCCGAATCAGCATGAGCACTGCCGGTCATCATGCAGGAGTAAATGCCCAGACCGATGCCACCGGCAGCGATGGCCGTGATAGCTGTTTCTATTTATCCCACCAGGCGGAGAGCTCGGCCTCATGCCGGACTTCGGACATTATTGGTGGCAGGGTCCCGAGGGCCCCCGCATTCGAACTAGACCAGCACGCCTAAAAACAGCACACCGGAACCAGAAGTTCGGATAGTGCGAAAGGAAGTCTTCGGAGCGCCGGCCAAACCACTGTACCCTCTTGTGTATTGATTAGAAACTGTGCTGTTTCTTCTTCTTGTTCGGTCGCGATGTACGGCATTGGTGATGCTCACCGGCGGCCGGCCGGCCAGTCTTCCCTTTTTTGAACAAGCACTTGGTAGGCAAGCCGAATTTTACAGAGGTAAAGAAACAATGCGCGAGGACAACATACACACTAATCTGCATCGTAGGCTTGGTTTTCTCTTATTGCGAGCTGTACACGATGCTCAAAATTTGGTGCTACTCTCGCTTCAGACCAACTTTGCCAACGCCCCTGAGTCCCCAGACACTAACAAAGCAGGCCAACAACTGCATCCCGAAACAAAGCCAGAAGACCACTCGATATCCTTCCATGATAGCTTCAGGCGACTCCTTGTTCTCGATGGAAGACTTGGCTGTGACCCTGTTCGAGGTGACTGCCATGACCATCAAGCCAACCGAATGCCCGAACTGAGCGACTGTACTAAAGACAGCACCTGCCAGTGCTTGTGTGCCCTCAGAGAATGCATCCGTAATGATGAGATTGGCGACCGTAAAAATGACTATGACACGATCAGTTGCATTCACAAGGAGCTCGTGTCCCGAAGTTCGGGGTACCTACCATCGACGCTGAAGGGGCATAAGAGTGCAGCCCAGAACGCAGCGACCCAGAAGTTCCAGGCCGGATCGATGAGGGCCATTATGAGCGGTGCAACGCATGTCAAGGCTGCCGAGACCGTAATGAGACGATTGGCGTTGATCTTATGAACAAAAAGTCCTGTGAACAGGTTGAGTAGGATGCCGACGACCACCTCGGGGAAGAAGCGAATGGCCGCGTCGAGCGCAGACAGCAGCTGGACCTCTTGGAAGCTGCAAGTCTGTCAGATCCGGGCATACACAAGTCAAGAAAACGGACTACTCACAACAGACTAAGGAAGTATTCTACGCCGTTGAGCACAGCGTACGTGAGAAAGACAAGGAGACAGATGGTGGTGAACGCTCTCTTGCGCCACAGTGAGTTCGGTATCAGAGCGATGCGACCCGACTTCTCGCGGAAATGCATCCAGAACCCAAAAGAGATGGCAGATGTGCCAGCAATGCATAGCATGGCAATGTTCTCGGCGTTCTTGGCCTTGGCCATGTTCCCGGTGATGACCCTGTGCAGGCATCAGTCATGTGAGTGAAGACGGAACGCGTCGGTAGACTCACGCAAGGACATAGGACGTGATACCCAGCGCCGCCGATATGAGGCAGGCGCCAATCCAGTCAATTTCACGGATGAATCGTGGCCAGGTGAACTTCTCTCGAGGGGTGTCCTGCGGCAGAAGCCAGATGCTCACCAAAAACAGCAGCCCCATCAGACCGGCTGTGAAGTAGAAGGCAAAACGCCAGGTTAAGTACGTGTCTACGACAACGCCACCGAGAATCAACCCAAAAGAAAACCCTAGGGGCTGGCTGAGACCGACGCAGGCGAAACCAACATTGCGCTGGCGTCCCGCGATGAAGTTGTTCGTCAGGATGCTGATCGTGGTGGGCAAGCAGAGGGACAAGGCGACGCCTTGGAAGGCGCGAAAGAGGATAAACCGGATGCCATTGTCGGCGACGCCGGCTGCTGTGGTGAAGATGGACAGCAAGAAGCAGCCCATCAGGTTAATGTTGCGGTTGCCGATGAAGTCGGCGACTGCGCCAGCGACAACTAAGCAGCACGCGCTAGCTAGCCTGAGAGTATTGTCAGAAAGAGAAGGAACGACGATTAGCCGTGGTAGCCGTGGAAGAAACAGAACTCTTCTTACGGAAATACGGATGCTGGCCTGTGACGCTCGATGTCAGCTTCAGACTGTGAAGTTATCATCTTTTATCAGTACACGAAACATACCACAAGAGCAAATGCGGCGCCAGTCCTAGATCCCGTGCAATCGTGGGCAAGGATATCGTCACAAGCCCGGTGCTCATGTTGCCAACAAAAGTAACACCAGTCAGGATACTGATGACCCAAGCGGCTTTTGCCCTGGACACAATCTTCACATTGTTGGGTTCCGCGATCTCCAGCATCGCCAGCGACTGCTGTGTGGGGTTTACAGTCGGTGAGGGCACAGCAGTCGGCTGCGCAGCGGCCTTCCGAGAGGGTGCAGAGAAACGTCGGAGCAGGGATGGCGTTCGGGAGATCCAATCCCGGATGTAACTCTTTGTTGAGGTCATGCTGCTGGTTGGGGAGCCAGAGGGAGACTCGTTCGCGACAAAGAGACCGCGAGGCGGAGTCTTTGCCGTCATGTCGGTAGGCTGAGAGCTGAGGAGTAGCGTCGATGAGTAATACGTGTCTCAGTCGTTGGTTCCAGTTGGCTTTTTGTAGGCTATTCCCGACATGAGGCTCGAGAAGAAGACTGAGATGGGATCCGAATGATGATTGCAGCTAAACTTATAGTTGGGATGAAGGTTGAAGGTAAATGCTCGGTCAAAGCTAGTCGTGACCCGCCCACGCCTTGTCTGTCATCCATCGACAGAAAGGCGTGAGCTTAGTTGATCCCACAACGTCTTAGAAAATTTGCGCAAATCCACTTCACAGCGATGGACAAGAAGAGTATAATATTTAAACATGATTTTTCGTTAGTCAAGAGGAATTTGAGACTTCGTTGGATTTGCGCTACCTTCGCTCCGTAGTGGTTTGCGCGCCAATCCGACTCAGAGTGTTCAATGGCGGGATGGCTGCTGTGCAGACACATGATTACACGGCCTTTTACGGGGCGCTCCAGGCCCACATGGCGCCGGGGGTATACACCCCTGGCCGTACAAGAGGCTCAGGGAGTCACAGACCCAATGCTACCAATGCTTTCATACCTAGGCTTCTCGCCTGGGAATGCTGCTCACTTGCTCATCCAAACTCCTGGGTCAATGCACAGGCCTTGAATGCAACGATGAGCATACGACGCGAAGATCCGATCGTTACAGACATGGTGATCGCCATACAGCCCCGATTCTTTGGACAGTGTACCAAGTTGCAGACCGAGGGTTAGGGATACATTTGACCTGAGCGACGTCACCTGAATTGTCGAATTCGTTTCGAATTACCGAACTCGCAGTATTGACGACGATTGGGAGGCAAGTAGGTTGCTGACGACCTGCTCCTCAACATGATATACCCAATTGCTACCTGTAGCTGGATGTCGGTCACAACGAACGCAATGACTACAACCAGTGAAAAATCAGAAGCCATGTTTGGATGAAAGTCCCAACCTTCTAATAGCCTAGTCATGATGGCCTCGTTCCAATAACCATGTCAGTTGGCCGCGGCTGAAAGGCGTGAAGTCAGGAAGCACGGTAGTGGTCCGTCGCTGATGAGACTCCAAGGTATGCACCAGCAAGACTCCAACAACTCCGCGTCCAATGGAAACGAGCAACAAACTTAAGAACCATGAGTCAGTCGTCTATGAGTAACCATCGCTACATGTAGGTAGTGGCAGCTCGGTTTATCTCGGCACGAACTATGCATGTCCTGTCATGGAGACCTGCCTTCTTGGGGATGATCCCAACATGGGCCATCAGGTGGCAAGACATACCGGCTCGAATCATGATCTTCGTACACATCAGAAACCCCTAAGCTTACACCTACTCCAGAGCAGAACGTCCACAACGCAACATGTTGCCAGTATAAGAAGGTGACAGCATCCAGGTGATTGGAATGCAGCTGTGTCGCAAATCGCAAGGCTATTGCTCAGCAACTCCAGAGTTGCAGTCGCATGTCCTGTGGTGTTGTCATCTGCAGGTCAACAACATGAAACAACGCATGCTGCAAGCACAACATTTCAATGACACACTTCATAGTGTCGAAATTGGCCAATGGCATGGCAACTTGTGCAAAGCGCCTTCAGTATTGCGGCTTCGCTTGCCTATTGGTCACTCGAAGTGCGTCGTGTGATAGGAATGCATTATGAGGCGCATCTTGGACGTTGTTGCGGACGCCTCGTGGAGTGCCGAGCAGGCATGTGTGGGAAACGTCCAGCCCTGCAGCACGGCATATGTATGAATGCAGCACCCGCCTACAGCTCTGCAAAGGTACGCACAGTCCCAACCTTTATTCGGATAAGCAGCGGATAAGTGCCAACTTGACACTGGTAGTCTCGATGTTGGGGTTAACCTAGAGAGTCTCGAGGTTAACGACGTGCAAATGCCATGAGCCTAGTGCGCGTCACCTGCCATCTTCGGTAAGCGGAACCTTGAACTGCGATACGGCTAAGGCTAGTTCTTGGGAGCAGCTTCTCCGGAACTTATCGTTGTCGATCATTCTCCATGAACTGGCCGAGTTGCTGCTTCTGGAATTAGACGATGTTGTGCCCGTAACGCTATACCGCACATTGCAAAGCCCCAACATTCGCGGCCTGCTCCCCGCCCTGGCGATTTGATACCCTCTTGCTCGATGCTCGCATGAACACGAAGATTGTGATGGATCCATGTCAGAAAAAGCAAATACCCCTCGTCCAATAAAGCAGTGCGTCAAGTCGCAATGCGCACTCACCAAGGCCCTCCTCCGGCTAAGGGCACATCAAAGACCGACTGCGGCTCTTGGCAAGTTGTCTTCCTTGCTAAAGATGGGAACATATTCCCGCTCATAACGGAGCACAGGCCTGAATTCGGTGCTGGCTCTAGCTCTAGTCTGGACTCGGTACTTGGTCAGATCAGGTAAGCCTCAGACCGAGTCGCTTGCTGGTGTAGAGCGATCGTCGTTGCTTGACGGGCCTCCTGGCCACGGTTAGGGTGGGAGACATTGCGGGGAACGCCTCAAGAAAGACCCAGTCGCGGCATACGAAACTGACCAAGACGGTATTCTTTCTGTTCATTGGCCGTTTGGAGCAAATAGGGAGGGCAGAGGGGCGAGTTGGGTAGCATCAGCGCATGCATCTCTATCGCCATACTTGCCTCCTTCCCAGAAAGGCAAGGCCTCCGCTATCGCCCTCATGCCCCCCCCCCGGGATCTTGATCCCCTCCCGCAAGTGAATCGGATCTACAACCGCTGTCGGTCCCGGCCGTGCCTCCAATCGTTGTCTCTATCTGCCGCAGCCACCAGCCTGATCTTGAGCCCCAGATATCTCGTACTCAAGCTCACCTGCCGTGCTACCCCACACATATCCCAGGAATCCGAGCTGCATGGGGCCCAACGGGCTGCGTACACCTATGAAGCGACATGGTAGCACTGCAATCAAAAGCGCCATTGACGACGTGAGGCGCTTGAAGAGCCTCCAAGGCCCCCGAGTGCCACCATTCCCGACTTCCTTCCTAATGTGGCTGCTGTCCGGCAGAAGCAGCGCTGGCAACACCGTAGGCTTGGCGATGTCACTCAACTACCGGATTGGAGCTTGCCAAGCCTGTGAGGTGCGACGATGAATCGGAGGTAACTTCAACCAACAACTTCAACTCCAGTATCGCGCGGAGTAGCCATCAGGGGGGGGGGGGCGAAGCCAGGATCTGGACCCGGGACGAGGGGAGGCGACGAGCTTCAGCAGGCTATAAGAAGACTCACGATGTGCCCCGAAATGTGGTCGAAACTGCAGAGACTCATCTCCCAGACAAAGCATCACTCAAGACTCCTTCTTCTCAAGTTCTTTCAAGCACGTCGGTCATCATGAAGTTCTCCGGTCTCCTGTACCTCGCCACCCTGGCCTCTGCCGCCTCTGTTGACCTCAACAAGCGCGACAGCCCTCTCGATATCAAGATTGAGAAGGTCGGCAACACCGCCATCAAGGCGAGCATCACCAACACTGGTGCCTCTGACCTTAAGGTCCTCAAGACCGGCTCGATCCTCGATGACCTCGAGGTTGAGAAGTCCGAGATCTTCTCTGGCTGTGCGTGCCGTCCAACACTTTCCTACGCATGCATACGATCCTTGACTAACGTGTACCAACAGCCAAGAAGGTGGAGTTTGATGGTGTCCGGCTCCAGCTGGATACCACGGCTCTCAGCGAGGAGTCCTTCCAGGTCCTCGTGGCCGGCGAGACAGTCGAGCTGACCTGGGACGTCGCGCACGTGCACGATCTTAGTGCTGGCGGCGAGTTCGACATCAGCGCCAACGGCCGCTTCTCCTATGCCGAGGGTGACTCGACCGAGCTGACCGGCGTCGCGACCTACGCGTCCAACGTTGTGCACTCGACCGTCGACGGCGAGGAGGCCGCCAAGGTGCGCCGTGACTTCCACGAGACGATCAAGCGCGCCGTCGTCCAGAGCGACTGCACGGGCACCCGCCGCACGGCGACGATCAATGCGCTGTCCAACTGCCGCAGCCTGGCGCTCGCCGCGGCCTCGGCGGCCTCGTCCGGCGCCGCCGCCAAGATGACCGACTTTTTCAAGTCGTCGACCACGGCCACCCGCAACACGGTCGCCGGCGTCTTCAACCGCATCGCCTCCGAGTGCGGCAGCTCCACCGGCGGCGTCTCCCGCCAGTACTGCACCGACATCTACCCGGCGTGCTCGTCGGGCGTCATCGCCTACACGCTGCCGAGCCAGAGCTACATGGTCAACTGCCCGTACTACTTCTCGTCCTTCCCGGCCCAGAGCCGCACGTGCCGCGCCATCGACCAGGCCACGACCACGCTCCACGAGGTCACCCACCTGACCCAGATCCGCGGCACCCAGGACTACAACTGCTACGGCTACTCCTGCGTCCGCAGCCTGTCGGCCTCGCAGAACATCAACCACGCCGATACCTACACCCTGTTCGCCCAGTGTAAGTGCCGCCTCCTGTTGCATGAAAGTGTCGCGGTGATACGGAAGCTGACCCGATTCTAGCCATCTACGCTGGCTGCTAAGCGTCTCGCTGTCGTGCGATTCACAAGGCCGCCGTGTCGGTTTTGGCATGTGATGCGAGGGTAGTTGACGGCGATGAAATGGGGCTCAGGTGCTTGATAGAGGTGCCGGGGGTCAAAAGAGGTATGATGATGCAGCGAGCTTTGGTTTTGGGGGGTTCCGTCTTCTTGGATATCCACGATGGATTGTCCAGTCGTGATGGGGGCTGCAGGGGTGTCATTGACAAAATACCAAAGATGACCAATGATCAAATCTGCTTCTCGTGATTTGAGGATTCGAAAAGCTGTGTTCAGTTGTGTGACTGTGTCGTCTGTTCATCGCTTCATGTTCATGGCGAATGGCCAGGTGGGCGAATCTCGGGCTGGCTCATCCATCTGTCGAGCTGCCATTGGATGGAAAAAAATCTCGGAATGACGGATGTGCCGCGTGTCCATGCGATCCCAGGCATGATAGTATTCGATAAAGACCATGGCAAAGGAATGCTCGACGTAATGCATGAAATAGAGATGGACGATCTGTGGTTCACTGCCCAACGATGGTCCCATTCCTATGGCATGGTCACATGACTCGAGGCACTGCCACGTCTGTCACTGCCTTCCCGGGGAAAGCCTGCTTCTGCCTGCTTAGGTACCTGGGTACCTAAAATGAAGGCCCGCAATGCGTTCATTCCCCCCAGACTCCTTTAGGCCAATAGCAAGCCTCGCATCGCGTATGATCTCATTCGTTCTAGCGCCATCCCAATGGAGCGCTCGGCCCAGGGCCGTGGCTCCCGTGACAGTCTGGAGCTCCACCAAGCTCCAGGCGCAGCTCCAGGCGCAGGCACAAGCAAAAGCACAAGCACGGGCACAGGCACAGGCCTGCCCAGCGGAAGCAGAACCTATCGCCTAGGTACCTGTCTGTGCCTTAGGTGTGGACTGTGGACTGTGGACTGTGGACTGTGGACTGTGGACTGTGGACTGTGGACTGTGGACTGTGGACTGTGGACTGGACTACGCCGGGAGCGGTGGCAGGCCAGCCCGCATTGATGATTCAAGGCCCAACCCAACCCCAGAACCTTTCCACTGCATCTCGCGATGCTCCTCACCTTGGCCCGCCACCACACACACACATACACACACACCTCAGCAAACCCCCAGCCACTCGTCTTTCGCCCTGGGCCATTGCACCCGCAACCCCGTGTAGACTGCATCGCTATGCGTGCGATCCCTTCGCCTTATCCACGTCACTGCATTTTCTGTACATGATTCCCCGCGCAGCGTCTCCGAGCTGACGAACACAATGGACGACACCGCGCGCACAGAATACCCGTCCATGCTTGTGAGCGCCCGTCCCAATCTGCTGCCACCCTGCCATTGCAGCTGTCGAGCTTCGTCTTCGTGTCCCCACGCTGCATCATTCGCTGACCTCGTATTTTCGTCGCCTCCAGGGATCCCTCCAGCCGACCCAAGCTGTCCACGTCCTGACCGAGCGAGTAAAGCGGATAAACAAGATCAATGGCGAAATCGCAGAATGGCTCCAGGTACGCCCGATGAACAAGACGCTCGGGGATACACACTGGCCAATTGTTTGCTGAACAGACTTCTCTCTCAGGAACGCCGCAAGGTGGAGGAGCAATACGTCTTGAGCCTCCGCAAGCTACTCCAGTTCAAGGTTCCCAACGCCCAGTCCGAGCTCGGGTATGTTCTTCACATCCTCTCCTCGACTCTCTTGGCACTCTCTTGCCTGTTTTTTTTTTTTTTTTTCCGTGACATGCTGACGGCACCCCCAGCGTCTTCCAGGCGCCATGGGACAAGATCCTCCAGGCCGTCGATGCAACCGCGCAGTCACACCACCAGCTCGCCGCCAACATTGACAGGGACGTCGAGGCACCATTGCGCGCTTTCGGGACCAAGCCGGAGATGCAGGACATGATCGCCACCTCTGGCAACCTCGCCAGCATGGCGCGCGACCTGGACGAAGCACAGAAGAAGGTCGAGACGTTGGGGAAGAAAGGCACAAAGGGCAATGCGCAGAAACTCGAGGCCGCCCTGTCCAAACTGAACTCGTCGACGCAACAGTGGGACTCGTCGGCGCCCTTCATCTTCGAATCGCTCCAGGCCCTCGACGAGCAGCGCGTCAACCAGCTGCGCGATCTCTTGACCCAATACCAGACGCACGAAAGCGACCAGGCCCAACGCAGCCAGGCGACGGCCGCCGAGACGCTGGCCTCCATGCTGGAGATCAGCACCGAACTCGAGATTGCCAGCTTCCAGGAGCGCGCCACCGCCGGAAGGCCGAGGCTGGAGAAGAGGCCGTCGACACGGCAGACTTCGCATACCGCAGGCGGCCAGAGCCAGAGTCAGAGCCTGGCACCACCGAACCACAGCCAGATAGCCGATGACACGACAAGCGAGCGATCTGTGCCTGTCGAGCATAGGCCGCCACCACCACCCGAGCCCAGGCAAGAGACGAAGCAGGATGGCAAGACAGGTATGCGTTCGCGTACACACGGAAAAAAGATGCCCCGACATGGGCCACTGACCGCCGTGAACAGAATCAAAGCTGCGCAGTCGCATTGGCACGATGCTTGGCCGCCGACGGCAAAGCGTTCACAGCGGCTTCGGGTCGCTCTCCCCCGGAAAGTCTGGATCCTTTGGGCGCACGGGTAGCAGCCATGGCCGACCAGGACTGTCACCCAGAACATCGTCAAGCAACCTTGGGGAAGCAAACAACCGCTTGTCCATGCTACCCGAATCACCGAGCGCGCCGAACTCCCAACCGAACCCGCCGCAGACGATCCGTGAATCGGATGAGCAGTCTCCGCATGAGGGTACCAACGGCGTTGCCGAGACCACTGGTCAGGCAGCACTCAGCCGAACATCATCAGCCGCGGTCAACGGCGCAGACACCGTCGATGTGTCAGACGTCCCTCCTCCTCCAGGACCGCCGCCTTCGCAGCTGCGGGAGACGGAGAACAAGGATGCTGAAGGCTTCACCGTCCCCCCGCCAGCGACGGATCCCATCTCCCAAGCGCAACGGGAAGCAGCCGAGGACAATGAACAAATGTTCAAGCTCAACATCCAGAGCTCGCCGATCCAGGAAGAAGATCCTGAAGAGAGCCAAGCTGCTATAACCAACGTCGCCAGCACCCTAGGCAAGATGAGCGCGCCAACGCGAAAGATGGGTACTGTGAGGGGCAGGCGGGATGTTAGGAACACCATCTACGTCCCCGCACCGCCTGGCCGGGATCTCACGAACGAGAATCCCTTCCCATCGTCGCCGCCGCTGGTCAGCCAAACGTCTCGCCCCTCGGCCGTAGCCACACTGGCTTCCGAGGCGAGCATCGCTGCCACTTCTGACACGCAGTCCATTCGTTCGGCCAACTCGCTCAGCAGCCTTGCTCACCAGAAGCACCCCGATATGACCGGCCCTGGCCTCAACTCGTCCATCATCGAGACCGTGACAGCGTCCTTCGAGGATGGAGTGGTGAAGAGCGCCAAGATTAGCGGCGAGATCGCCTTCTCATATCACGGCGACTCGGATGCGCCAGGTAAGCCCCCACTTGCGGGCGTCATGAATGATAACACACCGCTGACTATGGCCCAGAATCTGAGAGCATTCGTATCAACAACTTCCCCAACCTCGAAGTCATTGGACCGAACCGCATCTTTGTTCACAACGTGTCCCCTGAACAGCCCGATCAGTTCACACTAAACCTATCTCACCTGAACAAGACGGCCACAGCTTTCACCTATCGTGTTCACGATATTGCCGGCTCGGACGCGCCGTCCCTTGCGGAGCATGCACCACTGCTTCTGCGCCCCGCGTGGAAGCCCCAGGGCGACAAGCTCGGCCTGCTCCTCCAGTACTCCCTGAACCCCGCAGTCAAGGTGTCGGGCCCTGTGACGCTTCACAATGTCGTGTTCGTCGTCACGTATGAGGGTGCGCGCGCGTCCGGGGCGCAGACCAAGCCTTCCGGTACCCACCTCAAAGAGAAGCAGCTCGTCTACTGGCGTCTCCCCGAGCTCACCCTGACCTCCGAGGTGCACAAGATCGTCTGCCGTATCGTCGGAGCCGAGAACGGGGAACCAAAGCCGGGCCACGTCGAAGCTCGATGGGAGTACACTCCTGCTGAAGGCACCGCCCTCGGCAGCGGCATCTCCGTATCCAGACTTGAGGAGTCGAAGGGCAAGGGCAAGGACGTCGCGTCCACAGAAGATGACCCTTTTGCCGACGAAGAACTTAACTCGCCTGCCCTGCCTGCTGACCAGAGGTGGGTCGACGTGCCACTTGCGCGAAAGGTCGTCAGTGGAAGGTACGAGGCCAAGTGAACCGTCGTTCGCTGACCACCATTTTCCCCTTTTGCTTGCTCCTTCAGCGGAGCACTCGATGTCTATCCCATAACCTTTTCCTTGTTCCTTCCCCCTTTTTCCTTTAACGTTCAGCATGAGGATGAGAGACGGTTGTTCTGCTTCACGCAGGGCTTTCTTGGCACATGTACATCGGCGGCTTGTTGTATGTAGTGTCGAATCATAGTGTGGAACCGCCATGTTGGGGCAGTTGTATCTAATACTTGCCGATCGTGACGTGGTGAACAGATTCTCTGGAGGACTGAGACGATCTCCGTCTCGATACTCAACGCTCCGCTTGCGCCAACCTTACCTACCTACCTACCTTAACCCTTGGGTACCTCGTTAGAGCATGTTTCCTTTTACCATCATCTGCCCATGCCGCTATTTGAATTTCAGGACCTTCTGAGAGATTTCGGACTGCCGAGACGCCTTCCAGCACCATGCCCTCGTCCTAAAGATTCGAGGAAACCACTGCCGTCTGAATCACCTCCGTCTTCCTTCACGTTCCGCGAATCGGGGCACCTGCACTTTCACTGCTTCCGGCGGTGGTATCGAGAAGGTACTTAAAGAAACTCACATCTTCAGAACTATTCTATTCCCACCCAACGCAGACCACCTCTCTCACCATACCCTTCGTCCCATTCTCTTTCAGCTTAACCTTGATCCAGTATTCTTTCATCGTTTGCCCCTCTAGCTTGAACCTTACCTCACCTCACTTTGTCTTGCCCAGGGCTATCACGACTATGGAGGGGGATGAGACTACAGAATCTTCTCTCGTCAAGAGGGAAGGTTCTCTGGGTCTTGGTCCCAGGCCTCCTTCTGCCAACATTGTCAAGCTCGAGGGCAACGATGTCGGATATCATGTCTCAATGGCCCGACCCGGAACCATGGTTCAGACGTCGGTGACAGTCGAAAGCGATGGTGATGAGGATGCTCGAGCCCCTCGCCCAGGGGTTACATCGGACAAAGGTGAAAATCACGTCGACGACCAATCGGACTGCAGCAGCGAATTATCTGAGCCAGAAGAATATTCCGATGACGATTTCGTCGACCCTGCTAAAGCTCGCATTGCGTCCCAACAAGAGGAGAAACAGCATCAGCCGGCCAAAGCGAAGCCGAGGACGCCACGCCGCCCAGCAAAGAACGTCGCCGAATATGCGGCCAGGCTCTCCGCCAGCCGCAAGGAGGCATTCCTCAAGTACATGGTGAGTAACATAGGGCTCGTTGACCAAAGAGGCTTCATCCCGCCACCGCCGGCTCGAAACAAGTCCAAGAAGAAGCAGAAGAGCACCGAGGTCACACACGCCACTGCTGTCCCATCCTACATGCCTTCGTTCTCTGGTGTTGAAGAAGAAGAACCCACTTTCGTCACCAAGGCGGACAACATGAAAGAGATCGCCAAGTGCACAAACAGCGTAGGCAACAACCGTCATGGCAAGACCCAGAAGCGGGATGTCAAAGAAGGCTCCAAGGTCTTCGGTCGAGCCCAAGTCAGATGCTACCAGGCAGACACGCCAGCTGGCCCAGAACGGCGCTATCAGATCAAGGGCATGATGGCCATGCTGAAGGAATATCAGCTTCCTCTCGCGGCCTGGTGGGTTCTGCAAGAGCACTCAGACATTGGCCCCCAGGGCGGCATTGTCGCTGATATGCCTGGTTTTGGCAAGACCATCGTCACTCTTGCTGCAATCCATGGCAATCAACCCGAGACAGCCAAACGAGACGCAGGAGAGGGGGCGACGCTGGTAGTGGCGCCCAACGCTCCGCTTGCTCAACAGTGGAGGAACGAGATTCGCATCCACCTTGGCCCGAAATATCATGATCAGACCATTCTATTGTCCACCCTACAGGATGACCGGCTAGATCCCGGGGCCTTGGCCAGAAAGTGGATCGTGTGAGTAACATCATGTCGCCGAACATGAGCTCTTTGGGCATCTTTGAGTTCATGTCACTAATTCCTTTCGCAGAATTGCCACTTATAGTGAGCTTCGGATGAGCTATGAGATGGCCCCTTCTGCTCATGTTGACGAAAGCGACGAAGATTTCGATGAGGGGGATCCCACTGACTACGTTCGACGGTTTCTTCTGGGGGCTGATGAGTACGCGATGGCCGATGATTATATCAAAGGAATACTCCACAAAGTTCAATTCTTCCGCTTGGTATTGGACGAAGTGCATAACATCAAAAAACATGCTGGAATGAGTACGTGCATCATTTTCTTATGAACTGAATCCTGATTTCCCGACATCACTGATACCTTTCCCAGCTTTCCGGGCAGCATACGCTGTCAAGGCACAACACAAATGGGGTCTCAGTGGCACACCACTCAGCAACAGGATTGAAGGTTCGCTCTGGTCAGCATCTAAGAGACGAGTATTGAGCGTACTGACGAGACATTTGTGCTCTAGAGCTATACTCTTACACAAAACTCATCGGTTGCACAAATATCACAAGCTTTCGGGAGTTTAAAGAAGTTTATGTGCTTTCAGTAAGTGGCATGAGTACCAATCGCGGCGATCAAGCTTGGGCGGGCTGGTTGCTGATACAACGTAGAGCGATGCAAAAGATAGGATCGATGTTCTCATGACCAACAACAGCTATCGAAGGTATGCTTTCACGTGCAGCTCATTTAGAGTTACCACTACTGACCACCTTCTAGGACGGATCAAGATCTTTTCCTCGGCAACAGAATGATGAAACTTCCTCAAAAGCACATGGAGGACCAGAACGTCCAGCTTACTGCTGTTGAGAAAGCCATCCAGGAGCAAGTTCTCTAGGAAAGACATTGGTCAAAAAGCTTATGGCTGACGATACTTAGGTGGCTGGACATTATATTCGACACTGACGACAACGCAAGAACCGGCAACAAAAAGTATGTTGGTCACATGCGGTACAGGCAGTTGGTGTCGCACGCCTATTCCCTGGAGTCTTTCCTCCGTGATGACGGTCCAAACGGCGTATCCGTGGACGAGCTGCAGGTGCTGCTCGAGATGGTGCGAAAGGTCGAGGAGCAGCCAAGGACACCTAGCACTCTCGATCAAATTGGATGCTGGTCTGAGCGACAAGTCAACCATGATGCAAGGTCTTCTAGCGTGGCCAGACCGAAGACCCTTAACCCATTTGGCAGTTCGGAGTTTGGAACACGATGCTGCCCCTTCGCGCCGCTCATTGAAATGATCATCGATTATCACCAAATACGAGCCACAGGCTGCTCGAGTTGCGATGGTCCCGTTTCTGATCCTCAGAAAGCACAAGCAGTAGGTCATAGGCAGTCATGAGGACTCCTGCTTGTTCCTAGAGGAATACACTGACATCTTTTCTACCAGTGTGGTCATTACACCTGCGGCGGTTGTCTAACCGAGTGGCTCAAAACCGAACAGCGCACTGAGTGTCCTCGCTGCAATACTCCGACACCGTTCCTCAAGATAATAACCCTCGGTACGCTGGAGACTCAATTTGACGCCCAAGAGCAAGCAAGGGAAGACGAGATCAAAAGCTCATTGAAGAGGAAGCGGGCAAGCCGACCGAACTTCAACCGCAGAGGCGGGCGAGCGGCTCAACGAGCTCGCCGATCAGCCAGCAACCCTAGTGACCGTCGTGTCGGACAAGACAACCAAGGCGTGACGCCTTTACTTGCGCCCCGCGATACTACCTTTATCAAGGCAGCTTTCGTCTTGAACAACAGAATGCCGGCCGCGGGCTCGAAGCTCACGGCAGTCAAGGACACTCTGCTCAGATGGCAGAGAGATTTCCCAGAAGACAAGTGCATCAGTGAGTAGAACGAGGCTATTGATCCCGACCGAGCTAATCGAGGCATAGTCTTTGTGCAATTCGTCAAAACACTTCTGATGACCGGCATCATGCTCCAGCTTGAAGGCATTGACTTCGTCTACACCTATGGCAAAATGTTGTCAAAGCAAAAGTCGAAGGCCAAAAATATATTCGAGACTGACCCGACTGTCAAGGTCCTGGTGAGTATCCAGTGGGTATCGTGTTGCTGCAAGACCTGGGGCTGACAAGTGTATGAAACAGGTCGCAACCATGGGAACATGTAGCGAAGGCCTCAACTTGACGTGCGCCAATCGCGTCATTGTTGTTGACGCGTGGTGGAACAGTGCTAGGGAGCAGCAGTCATTCGGCCGTGTCGTCCGCACTGGACAATGCAAAGAGACGTACTGCGTGAGGCTGAAATCGCCGAATTCAATTGACGACAAGATTGAGAAGATTCAGACCAGCAAGAATGAGGTCGTGGACTGTGCCGTCCAGGATGACGGGCACGACCCCTTTACTCTCTCCGAGCTTGGCGTCATGAATCTGCTCAACCCTGAGAAATACCTGGAGCTCTGCAAAGAAACCCTATCGAAGATCAAGAACCTAAAGGAGGCCGAACTTGCGAAGTGAGGAGGTCACTGACAATCTCCTCCGAGCCGGCGAGAGTGGAGACGAGGTGGGCGTTTCTGAGGTTCGGACGCAGGATGCTCAATATCATATATCACAGCATATTACTTACAAGTCTTTTGCGCTCAAAGGGATTTTCGTCGCTTTTATTTCTGCTTGTAGGAGAGGCCGCTTCTCAGATATTTGCCATTTTCCTATTCTGTTGGCCTGGGAGCAGGGTTTCTGAGGGGAGAACGGCCATCACAATCTGAGACTGGACTGCAGTGCTGGATATCGGACACGTTTGCCACGGGCAATGAACTTTCTCCAATAATACACATAGCTTAAATCACAGGTTGAACACGCGATCACTCATATGGCCGTGTTTCTTGCCAGACAAAGCAACATTGAACTCGAAAGACTGATTTTGGAGTTTCCCGAGGAGAGCTGTGCGTTCGGCTATAGTGGCAGACGCAGCCATGAGAAGTGCCGCGGCAGAATGGGCCCCGTAATTGAAACACTTATGGAAGGTCAATTGCAACTACATGTCGACCTAGTTCGGTATCCTAGTTCAGTTTCATCGAGGTGTCGCCTCTTCGAGTTGGTATGTCTGCATCTCAACCCAAGCAGAAAGACTCGGCGGGCCTTCCTTTGCTACTTTCTGTTGTTCTTCGCCATCGAATCCAGGATAGCGTTTCCTTGCGCAATGTCGTCCGGCGTCACTAAAAGGGGTCAGCAGGATGCGTGCAGGTATGGGCGTCATGGAGTACTCTTCAATCCATAACTGTGTTGAAAGTTCTGGCGCCCGCCCCAAGCTTTGGCGATCTCGTGTCGCGTGTCGTAGCCCGAGGACGGCTGACTAGTCGGCGCCGACGCCCTGGGCCCCGTCTGCTTCGAACTGCTGCTGCTGTTTGAAGGCATGATGCGAAAGATGCGATGATGAGAAAATATATGGACAGTTGATGGTAAACGAAGGGGGAGTTAGCCTGGACGTGAGCACCGGGCTTCGCCTTACAACAAGTACCTCAAGATGAGGTGAGTTTGACTTTGCAAGCGGGGTCACCCCGCCAAGTGATACGTCGTCTTTCGTAGACAGCAACGTCTCCCGCGGAGCACATCACTTTCGTGGGAGTGCGTCGTTTTAAGTTGCAGCTTCTCCTCGTCCAGTCTCATCCTCAATTATCGACAGAGATACTCGCCAGTGCGCATTGACTGGCAATAGCCTTATCATCTCAGTGATTACACATCTCAGTGATTACACAGGTAGCGGTTGGCCAGGCCTCCGGCAGTGCGAAGGAGACGAGGAGTCCCCATTTATGCAGTCTCAGGCCTTGTGATAAGTATGTAGAGTTTGTATCTAGCCCTGAAGAGCAAAACACTTATCCTACCTACGCAACAATCGCGAAAGAAAAGTATTTCGATGTAAAGCAAACACAAGCGTAAGAGGTTAGGGAAGAGGCCGAGGCCACCAAAGGCGGTGTCTTTCGGTGAGTCTCGGTGAATGGTACTGCCGGGAACCCCACTAAAAAATCCAATCCCCCGCGACCCAGGTCAACTTTTTTCGTCGCAAACTCGACGCTTTTACGATTCCACGACAATCCCCAACACATCTCGCCAGGACCGTCGACGCCATGTCTAAATCAGACAAGATCACCGACTCGAGGTTCTCGAATTTCGAGACCGACCCCCGGTTTCGTCTTCCCTCCAAGAAGAAGACCAAGACCACAATCGACAAGCGATTCTCACGCATGCTCAAGGATGATGAGTTCACCGCCACAGCAAAAGTCGATCGATACGGCAGGAAGTTGAAGTCCGACTCGAAGAAGAAGGCTCTGCAGAGACTGTACGAAGAGGAGGGCGAAGAGGACAAGGAAGACAAAGAGGAAGACGAGGACACCCCTGAGGTTGAGGACGACGATGTGGTCGAACGCGAGCTCAAGGCTGCCGACGCCAATTACGATCCCGCACGTGGCGGAGGCTTCTCTTCCTCTGATGAGGATTCGGATTCGGACGAGGAGCAGGAAGAAGAGGATGACGCTGCGGCCGAGGCCGGTGGCTCCATGCAGCGCCTTCGCGACGAGCAGGCTGCTGTCGAGGAAGGCGAGGTCACGAACCGTATCGCCGTCGTTAACCTTGACTGGGACCACATCAAGTCGCAAGACCTAATGGCTCTCTTCAGCAGCTTCCTGCCCACGACTGGCGGCAGGATAGAAAAGGTGACCGTCTACCCCAGCGAGTTCGGCAAAGAGCGCATGCAGCGCGAGGAGCTCGAAGGACCTCCGAAGGAGATTTTCAAGGCCACAAAGCAAAGCGAGCCCGAAGATGACGACTCGGACGATTCAGAGGACGACAGCGACGCTTCAAGCGACGCGGACGCGGACGAGAAGATCAAAAACGAGATCATCGAGGAGGGCGACGACCAGGACTTTGACGGCGACGCGCTGCGATCATACCAACTCGACCGCCTGCGCTACTACTACGCCATCATGACGTGTTCCGACAAGGCCATCGCGAAGAAGATTTACGAAGCCACCGACGGCACCGAATACCAGTCCTCCTCCAACTTTATCGACCTGCGCTTTGTGCCCGACGATGTCGATTTCGACGACGAGCCCCGCGATGAGTGCACCAAGGTGCCCGAGGGCTACAAGCCGATCGAATTTGTCACGGATGCGCTGCAGCACAGCAAGGTCAAGCTCACCTGGGATCTCCACCCGGAGGAGCTCGCGAGAAAAGACTCGATCAACAAGGCGTTTAGCGGCAGCAGGAACGAGCTCGAGGAGAACGACCTCAAGGCCTACCTTGCCAGCGACAGCGAAGACGACCAGGACCTCGACAGCGAGCCAGAGAACGCAGACGAGCCCAAGCTTTCCAAGAAGGAGCTGGCACGGCAAAAGATGAGGGAGGCGCTCGGTCTCGGTGACGAGACGGCAGGCAAGTCCAAAGGCGGCCCTGTCGGCGACATGGAGATCACGTTTGCGCCAGCTCTCACGGAGAAGCAAAAGAACAAGGTTCCCGAGGAGGAGGAGACGACGATTGAGAAGTACGCCCGCAAAGAACGCGAGCGCAAGGAGAGTAAACGCCTGGCAGCGAGGGCAAGACGTGAAGGTCGCGACCCAGATGCCGAGTCTTCTTCTTCTGAAGAGGAAGCGGAGCCGGAGGAGGACCTGGGCTTCGACGACCCCTTCTTCGCGGCGGAAGAGACATCCAAGAAGACCAAGACGTCCATCCGCAAGGAAGAGCGTCTGGCCAAGAGAGCGGCGCGGGAAGCCGAGGAGAAGGAGAAGGCAGAGTCGAAGGCGCAGCTGGAGCTTCTCATGGCAGGTGATGGTGAGGATGATGGTGACCACTTGGATCACTTTGACATGAACGAAATCACGCGAGCCGAGAAGCAGAGCAAGAAGAAGTACAAGAAGAAGGGCAAGAAGAAGGAAGTCGAGCGGGCCGGTCTACAGGAGGGCTTCAAGATGGATGTTGGTGACGACCGTTTCAAGGCTGTCTTTGAGAGCCATGAGTATGCCATCGACCCGTCGAATCCCAAGTATAAGGCCACAGAGGGCATGCAGCAACTGCTAGAAGAGGGCCGCAAGAAGAGGAAGAATGGCGGTGATGCAGCGCCCGACGAACGCCAGGTCAAGAAGGTGAAGAAGGCCAAGAAGAGTGGCGAGGAACTCGGTGGTCTTGTAGAGGCGGTGAAGCGCAAATCAGCCGGCAAGCCGAAGAAGAGGTAATCGCCAGTAGTACCGCGATGTACCTGTGGCTGGTTCTGTATGATAACCTGAGGAGACGTGCTGTCGGAGTTGGTAGGTGTTGGGACCGGAAAATGCAATTGGGTTGAACTCCGTTTTGAAGCGCATGCCACAGAGTACAAAAGGTTTCAACTGGCATTTGCACTTGTGACTTGGGATCAAAATGACCAAGAGGAACTGTGGCCTTCATCACATGTCGAGTATCTAAACTCATAGATAATCTTGAGTCTAGCGAACCAGAATCAAGGTCAGACTCACAGTACCGCCGCAAAAGTATCTGGAAAAAAGATCTTAAAGAAAAATATGACCAAGAGCTGAACACAGACGTGGCACTCTGGCTTGTATTTCATTACAGAGATTGTACCTAGGCACCTATGGTAGGTAATTGGTGAAGGGGCGGAAGGGCAAAAAAATGGAGATGCCCGGGATTGAACCGGGGACCTTTCGCATGCGAAGCGAACAGTCTACCACTGACCTACATCCCCAGGATGCAAATGTGACTTTCAAACACAAATTATGACATCCTTCTATCCGACTGTTTGTTATTTAATGTCGTCATTCATTATTGCACATACTTCTCTCATGGCCGTATTATATCCTGACGGAAATTCCGTCCAGTCCCGAAGTAACTAATTCCTGTGACAGGCCGTGCTGGAAACCGTGCCGCCATTTCACGCCTGGCGAATCAATCGACCATGTCAGTTACGAGCTACCTACCTGAAAGCATTCAGGTCCCGGCGAAATCGGATGCTCGATGTTTCTTGGTTATATCCGCTCCTGTCTGCTGAGAATCAGGTTGAGAGTCAGTATGCTGAGCTCCAACAAACCGCTTTTTGCGATGGCAAGGATATGAAGCTACGCCAAATATGATGTGGTTGGTCTGCATTGGACTGGCTCGTGCTTGACCATAGCATCATGCATCAAGTACCGATTTCTTTTGCCGCGTATTCTGACCCGCGGCTACTTTACCTCTCAGAACATGAAATGACCCTTTCGTCCTCAAGATGCAAACGTCAGGAAACTGCCCCAGGCTCGCGAGCAAATGGAGCGAATTCCCGGTGGCTACAGTGGTCTGGATCGGGGTGCTGACAGAGTCCGCGATACCGCATCCAACAGGCATTTCGCAGTGGAAGAAACAGTCTCCGACGACATGGATGGACGGATGAGCCTTGCGTAGCATCGCTTATTAAGTTTACTGTCAAACTCTCGCAGCTATGTTAATAACGAAGCAGAAATCGGTAGATAAAGCCACTCCCTATAGCATGAAGCACGCTCTCCTGGGTGCCTGGCGAGTGGAGGGCGCGCTAGCTGGTGTGACACCAGATCGACGACCATGACGATTCCGGACGGCCACTTTCACAACAATACCTACTGCAGACTTGAGACATTCCTGAGCCAGACATGCTCCAGAACAGTCTAGCCCAACCGACTTTCCGGAGTAGTTCTTCCCCAGATACACCAAGGGTCATTTCTCAGAACATTGGACCGTGCTTGCTGCTTGCGTCTATCAATGACAGCATCCGCAGGCGGCGATGACGCATGCTTTTCGGATTCCCAAATGATGCACGCACTCCCCGCCGACCCCATAACTGGTGCTCTGGTAGCATTTTTACCCTTGTCCAAGGGATATGCCCAACACTCTGGTAATATTGACGATGGATCACGTCCTCATCCCCTCCAAGTCAAGTCGTCTCAGGCAGGCCCTGTCTCGCAGATTCAAGTCTCCAGCCACCTCAAGCAATCAATCTGGCGTGGCTGAGGTCTCGGCTGGCGGTACAGAGACTGAGTCGTGGCCACGGACAACTCGGGATCGATATGAACTCCAAAGGGCGAACTTCGAGCCCCGTCCCGCTCGTCGACGTGGGAGCAAAAGCGGGCAGACCAGTGGCCAGACCACTCCTAGCAACAGGTCGAGCATGGTGACTGGGCCTAGGATCAGCTCTGAGAGTCCCGAGTTGAAGCTCCCCACATCGAGTGAAGGCACGGGGCCCAATACCTACGATGCCGGCAAAAGTAGGATAGACACTACGGGGGTTAACGTCCAACCCGAGAAATTCGATCGCGTTGAGACGCACCCCGATGTCTGTTTCGACCACACCGTCATCACGCGACAACCTGTCACGCACGAGGAAATCAGGCCACACGTCCATACGATTTACGAGCAACGGCGGACTCGCTCCATTCATTATCACGAGCATCGGACCCTGATCCAGCCGATCATAGATCCAGACCCAATCGTACTGCCCGAACAGCACTGGGCTCAGGACCACCGAACTGGCAAAATCTTCAAGATCCCCGATGCGCTTGGAAGGCAACTCGACGTGCAATATGGCAGAAGCAGTCCGCAGCACGTGGAAGTAGATGATGGGGAACTCATCAAGGCGATGGGGAAGATGGGCCTCGAGACATCGCATTTGGACCCCGAGAAAACAACGTCCGATTGGGCGGGATTCGATGAGAAGGCGACAAACTAAGGAGCATTTACCCAAGCATGCTACACCTGAAAGCTTGCAAAGAGCAAGGACACACAGGCGTTGCTATCGACATGTACCCTGACTATATCTCACGTGTAGAGTACTGGCCCGCCCATACCTAATAGAAAAGTTTGTAACGTTAGATACCGCGTTGTTCAGACTTCGCTGCAGAACGCGGCGGAGACAAAAGCAAAAGATGGACAATGCGCGAATCGAACGCGCGACCTTCAGCAGATAGTATCTCACGATCTTATGATCTCAGATGCTAAGCAGACGTTATACCACTAAACCAATCGCCCTTGGGTGACAGCCGACCTTGGTCGTGGTGGTCATGGAAGAGCTGTGCGCGGCGGGCGCTAGGGTTCAGGCTGGATGAGGGCAATGGCCCCGTGGTGGATCGTCTAGGGCAGGTCCATGTACGGCATAATAAGCCGAGGTTTACACTATCCTGGGACAACATGACGATAGGAACAAAGCTGTGGCATTAATTTATGATGAGTGGCGTGATAGCTGGCTTCCAAGATACTAATTCTTCCTCTTGGCCATCAGGCCCTTCAGGGGGTTCTTCCCCTTGAACCTCAACCAAGTGGCGAGATAAACAACGGCGTAGTTGAATGCAATGAAGCCGCAGAAGATCCCGAAATCCCTCCAGATGTTCCTGTAGTACACGCTGAAGCCCACACCAAATTCATCACCGGTGGCATACTGGCAGAATTCGCACAGCCCATCAGAGGCTGTCTGCACGTAGCCGCCCGCCTCTGCGATGAATGGCTGAACGTACTCGTCGCAGCCAAGACCGTTCGGTGCCTCGAATCGAGCAAACTCTTCGGAGGCACACTGGACGGGCTGATCGTGAATGACAGCTGCGAGTAAAGCTTCCAGGACGTAATGGAATGGAGACAGCCAGTACATCCACTCGCGCCAGAAAGTCGGGAGCTGCATGGGCGGGACAATGACGCCGCAGAAACTGATGACGAAGAGGAAGAAAAGCGGAACAAGCAGAGAGGCGAACAGTTCGTTTGGGGCGAATGCAGCGATGGCTTGACCAAAGCTGATGAAGTAGAGTTCAAAGAGGACGACGAGGAGGAAACCAAAGCCCGACACGAAGGAGGAGACATCGAGGCCAAAAACCCCCCACCACCAACAGCTACGCGACGAGGTCAGTAGTCTGGCAAAATGAAAGGGTTTGAGACGGAACCTGGCCATGTTCAGTAGACGGCTGAGCCCAGGCTCAACTTACTTAAAGTAAACGGCACCAGCAACGACGGCATAGGGAATCTCGGCAAGTACAGCGCCTGTGGTCCACGCAAACCAGGAATAAATCTTGGCGTTGTTCTCTCGAGACTGGAAAACGTTGCGGCTGTTGAGAAATACAGGCTGCAATTGCTGGATGAGAGGTGGCGAGATGACGAGCGTCATGAATACGGAGAACATACGATTCTGAAAGTCAGTTGACGAGAAGCCAATCTTGAAGAATGTGAAGGTGTTGAAGAGGCCAGTGAGTATGTGTAACATGAACTTGCCGACAATGTAATCGGGTGACCGCCAGTATGAGATAAATGCACGCTTCACCACCTGAATCGTCTGTGTTCCGAGGGACGCAGCGTATTCACGATCATCCCTCAGGCTGGCAGTCGGCTCGACATCTTGGCGCTCAGCAATCAAGTCGTCAATTTCGCGCGAACGGGCTTCGCGGTGAGAGGAATTGGCCCACACATCACCCCAGTCTTGACCTTTGTAATTTGGGTCCCCGGCACCGATAGCTTCGAGCATGTATTCGGCAGGGTTCACGTTGGGTGGGCATTTGTCCGCGCCGTTAGACTCGAGGTAGCGAATAAGTTCGCTACTGTCGTGTCCCAGAGGGCCGTGGTAGACCACACGACCACCAGATTTGAGGAGAAGCAAATCGTCGAAGTATTCGAACAGGACGGCTGAGGGCTGGTGGATGGTACAGAGTACGGCCTGGCCAGCGTCGGTCAGTTTACGAAGGAAGCGAACGATGTTGAAAGCCGCGCTAGAGTCAAGACCGGATGTCGGCTCATCGAGGAACATCAGTAGTTCGGGCTTTGAAGCAAGCTCGACGCCAATTGTCAGGCGCTTACGCTGCTCCTGGTTCAATCCTTCGCCGATTTGGCCGATAGTCGCGCCGGCGATGTCGCGCATTTCCAAGAGGTCAATAATGGTCTCGCAGTATTCAAGCTTCTCCTGTCTGGGTGTCTTGCGGGGCTGGCGCAACAGGGCCGAAAATTGAAGGGCCTCACGAACTGTAGATGTAGGCTCGTGGACGTCCATTTGCTCCGCGAAGCCAGTGGCACGTTGAAAGGACTTGGGAAGGGGTCGACCATCAACGAGGAAATCACCAGTGATTGTGCCAAAGTTGAGACGTTGGGCCAGAGCATTGAGAAGGGTCGTCTTGCCAGCACCTGTAATCAATCAGCGGTGTTCGTCATGAACCACGCAAAGTCAAACACGTACCTGAAGCTCCCATAAGGGCAGTGAGTTTTCCGG